GCGACAACTGGCGCAACCCGGCCGCCTCCGGCCCGGCCTCCTCGCTCCTCCCCGCCGTCGTCGCCTTCCCCGACCGCCACCGCATGGCCGCCTTCTCCGCCGCCCGCAGCGCCGCCGACCTCAAGGAGACCTTCGCCGCCTGGATGACGGAGCAGCACTGGGAGGACATGAAGCAGCTCTTCGAGTCCTGGGTCCGCTCCCTCGACGCCGCCACCGGCAAGCCCAACCGCCCCGACGTCGACCTCTTCAACCACTACCTCCGCGCCAACCTCATGTCCGGCGCCCTGCCGCACGAGATGCTCGATCTCGCCGACCAGATGCGCGAGTTCGACCTCGCGCCCAACACCGCCTCCTACAACCTCGTCCTCAAGACCATGGTCAAGGCCCGCGAGGTCGAAGGGGCCGAGAAAATCGTCGAACGGTGAGTCCTCTTTCTGCCTCTCTACGACTCAACTGCTCTACTCTACTCTAGGTAGTTTACAAATCCTCTTCTGTCTGGTATTGGCATGGTAGGGTGATAGCTTGATCTGATGCTAGTTGCAAAGGTCATATATTCGTTGCGCTCAAGCCCATTCTCCTTTTCCTTTTTCTATAAAAAATGCGCTGAGAACTTTGATCCATGGCATGGCACGTTTGAGATTTGCTTCACTGAGTTCCTGAGACTACATTTGTAAGTGCTTTTGTCATCCAAATGCGTAGACTATCGAGTTTTCCTGCAGAGGGTTGATGTTAATAAAATTCCGGTTAACTGCTTAGCTTTGTTTTTTCTGGCCGAGACAGCTTATCTTTGGTTTTTCCCTACATGTTTAGCATGGCAGTAACTTATGCTCTCATTTGTACCAAATGTGTTATTTTGAGGCCATCATAAATTTTTGTGATTCGTTGCTGCAACAAAGTCGGCTTTCAGAATGATCGTCTATCACTCTTATCTGTTGAAATCAGGATGCTGCAAACAGGAATTGTGCCAGATGATGAATCCTACAATTTGGTTGTAGATCTGCTTCTTAGACACAACCGTGCTGACTCAGCCTTCAAATATTTGGAATTGATGCTTAAATCAGGCTACGCGATATCTTCACCTGTATTTGCTGAGTATGTCCGAGTATGTGTTAAATCTGGGAGTTTGGACACATTGGCATCAATCATAGAGAAGTGCAAGGTACTTATTCTAAACAACAGTTCATTCATTGCTTGTATGCTATTTAGGAATTTGACAGTTGACCTCATTCCTTAGATGTTTGTGAGTTACACTGATGGCCTTTGACATTCATACTTTTGGCACACACCTTATAATATGCATGTAGTTGTCAAGTAAAAATCATTTGTCTGCCATATTTATGACCGTGCAATTTGGTTTATTTCAGGCAACAGAGAAGAACAAAGTCTTGATTCCACAATGGGCCTGGTGCATTGACATAGCAGAAGCTGCTTTTGAAGCTAACAATAGCAAGCTAGCCATGTTTGGTTTGGAATTTCTTGCGAGATGGATTGCACATGGCGAGGGTTCTAAACCCCCTATTCACCGTTCAGTCGATGAAGGTTTAGTACTCTCAGCTTTCAGTGCTGCTGGTAGAACCTGCAGCAGTGACCTCTTGAACGCTGCTTGGTCAATATTACGCAAGTCCTTGCGCCAGAAAAGGGCACCCACGCCAGAGACTTATCTTGCGAAGATTTATGCTCATTCATCAATTGGTCAACTCCAACGAGCTTTTGGGACTCTTCGTGAATTTGAAAATGCCTATAGGAACTTTGAGGGTATCGATAAAGAGCTCTTCTCACCATTTACTTCATTGCAACCACTTGTTGTTGCTTGCTGCAAGGATGGCTTCACCACATTGGACTCGGTAGATCCGCTTACACTTGCTATTCATGATGCAATGAGTCTTCTTTCAAGAAAAAGCATCTACCATATAATTCCGTCGGCGACATGATTGCATCCATTCTATATGCTGTGACATCGCTTGAATGCTCCCTTTTTTATAAAAAAAATTATGCCAGTTTCTTCTCTTCTGTTATTTTCACTTGGTCAGCATTACTACTGTAATATTTGTGGGAAATTGTGCGTTGGCTCTCCACTGGCAATAATCTCTCGTGGCTTTCTGTACCTCAATTCCATTCTGCTAGCATTACATGTATTTCTTGAATGACTTGGCTTGCATTCGTACATAACTGCGACTCACTTGCTTACTGAGACTTGGAAGATACTTGTTGTACAACGTCTACATGGTTAGCCAGACTTCATTTGTTCATGACATGCTTACTACTGCATGATCTTTGTCAATTGGACTTCATAATCTGGAATAAGCATTTTATTGCCCTGCTATGTCTTTTTGTTTTTGAAGTATGATTGAATGCTCTAACCTATAGGCTACCATTTGTAGGTTTATGTTCAGTTAGAGAATCTGAGTTCTGCGGATCCACCATACAAATCTGTTGCTGCTCTTAACTGTGTTATACTAGGCTGTGCAAATATTTGGGACATTGAGCGAGCATACGAAACTTTTGAGGCAATGAAAGAAAAGTTTGGACTTACGCCTGACATACATTCATACAATGCCCTGTTGCATGCATTCGGGAAGCTAAAGAAGGTATCATTATTGCTGGCCATATTTCCTTTGTTTCTTATGTCTCTTCAAAGTACCTGTTTGGCAGCTAGATAACAAAATCCCTTTTAATGTGTTGCCCTCTGTGTTTCAGACAGAGGAAGCTAGTAATGTGTTCCAGCATTTAGTAAGCCTTGAGGATGTTAAGCCAAATGCAACAACATACTCCCTGCTTGTCGATGCGCATCTTGTCAACCGAGATCCAAAAGCTGCTCTTGCTGTTCTTGACGAAATGGTCAGTTGAACTGAACTCGCCCTTTATACATTGCTTATGTATGGTTCCCTCAAACCAACGTTTTGTTCAGGTTGATGTGGGCTTCACTCCTACAAAGGAGACTCTTAAGAAGGTCCGAAGACGCTGCTCCCGTGAATCAGACTTTGATAGCGACGAGAAACTGCAGTCCCTGTGCAAACGGTTGAACTTGCGGATGGGCGGTGAGACCCGTAGGGAGTTGCTGTATAACATCGAATACAGTGCCGAGTACTGAAGCAGTGAGTACTGGGCAACCTTCCCTGATTTCAACCTCTACCTTTTGTCAGTACCTCAGCCGCAGTACATTTTCACTGATTATGCCTTGATTGCTGATTTTGTTTTTGCCAGTTTGATTTTGATGATGCCGGTGTTCTTTCAATCAAGTAGGCACGTGTAGTGTTTGCCGGTACTCGAAGAGCACAGAGGCTGTAGTCTGTAAATTATACTTTGTAACAGTTTTCCTAATCATTCTTCAGTATCCCAGGCTTTCTTTCTTTGCTGGAGAGACAGGATGAGATTTATTTGTTAGGATTTCAGAATAAGGTCCTAATACATTTGTTTCTTTGCTCAACGCACTATCTTCCAGTCAGAGGATGGATGTGACGTCAGTTCATCATAATGTTATCCTTCTGCATGGCTCCTGTATTGTTTTGATCACACAGGTCGTGCCAATTCTGCCTGACTCTAGATTTACGTAATGTGCAGTGCACGACGTACTTGTGGTTTGTTTGCTGTAGGATTATCAGCGCAAGACTGCTTTTCTAGTTGGTCTGATTATCAGGATTACCTTTGATCGTCAAACTTTCGATTGATGAACATAATGGAGTTATTCCCGATGGCTCAAGAGCATTACCTTGGGTATGTCAGCGTGTATTTCTCTGCTACCTAGCGGACCGAACCAGATTATGAGAAATTTTGGGAAAATGACCAAGGAACTCCTGTTAAATTGAACAGTCCAAAAGAGTGATCCGAGCCACAATTTTCACTGAAAACCTGCAGAGCAGAGGCCGGCAAGCTTAACGGAGGTACACAGCGACCACAGCAGGCAAAAGCGAGCTTCGAACGCGTCCACCATGCAGGATTCGCTTCGCACAAAGTGTAACAACGTACACATAACAGATAATAATACAAATTTGCAAAGGAGGTGTGGTGTTTCTTTTCTGGTTTGATACAATGGCGTTGCGAAACTTCGAGATGATCCACCCAAACGTATGCTTCTTTTCACGACAAGATAGTAGAGACCGAGCCACCCAGATATAGATTATACAGGCCAGTTGGTAGCCCACAAGCCACAAAGGATACCCAATAATACTGCACAAGAAACTAAGAGGTACCGCTAAAAAAACACACAAGAAACTAAGAGGTAGTTCTTCCAAATTTTTGAACAAAAATAGAATTATCCCATCTATATCCAGAACCTACAATTAAATAGAACGAGTCCTCAAACCATGCCTAAAAAAACACTTACACCAAGACTAAAGAACAATAAGTATTTCTCTATTACTCCAAACTACATCATCCACAACTTCTATGATATCACACTTCACAAGCTCCCAGCTTCTGACTATGAGACGATGATAAGCAATTGTAATCATGAACAGCTGTCAAATGTCCATTCATCACTCCCCTCCTATCCCTTGTGGCCATCCTCTCGCCGTAGGTTAGAAAGAATGTCACCAAGATCAACAAGCCTTGTTTCCCTCGGTCATCTTCCAACTTCCTCAAACATCGCCACCCCCTCCTCACTACAGAAGTAGTGCAAGAACTTATTGTAATCAAACCTCGGAACATCCACTCCGCCCCACATTGTCCTCTCCACAAACTTCTCTATATGACTTCTTCACTGATAAACCGCGGAACGGAATCCAACAGCTTACAGAGTTTCTATACTGAACTCGGCGATGCGCAGAGCACGCAGAGGGGATTTTAACACAGTCATCGGCTGATCGACCAACAGTCGACACCACACTACCACAGCAGTAAAAACCCCGCAGTGGTGACTTCTCTACATTGCAGACAGAGCAACTGAAGCATTGTAAGCAGTGGTGGCTTCTCTACATGGCAGACAGGGCAACTGAAGCATTGTAAGAACGTACACACAACGAATAGCAACATTACAAATTTGCTGCTGTAAAAGATAACGTTACGAATTTGCAACCAAAGTGTGATGTTTCTTTTCAGGTAAAATACAATGACGTTGCAAGATTTCCAGAGTGATGCTAACCCAAAAACATACTATGTATTCACGACCAGGTAGCAGAGACCGAAGCCATCCAAATATCGACTCTACAGGACAGTAAGGCGCCCACAAAGAATGCTCAGTAACACTGCAAATCTCTTATCCATTGGAAAAGAAAAGGACGGTAAACTGTCTCAACAACTCATCCTTGATGTCCACATATCTGTACAGATCACCAGAAACAAAAATAACAAAATGATTTGACTATTGGCACTTGAGACCTGACTGACCAAATATTGACGCGTTGAAAATTTTGAATAACTGTCCAGAGTACAGCCCACGCCTGTTCTATCAAAACCAGATGTTTCCTCTGTAATCTATTGCTGGACCTGTCCGTGCTGACTTCCATTGTTTCGCCTTGAAAGTGACAGTAGGTTGGTTGGGATTCCTCCTAGCTTCATTCCTCAAATAGTGCACCATAGCTTCCGATTTACGGCATGGATCGGCGTGGACCAAGACCTCCTGAAGATTTGCAAGAAAATTGATACCTGAAGGCCGCCGGATGGAAGCATTTTCGAAGAAAGATAGTTCCAGCCTATGGAGCTTAGGTGCAGTGCCTTCCTCAAACCTCAGGTTCAATGCCTGGTATACAGCAAGATGAATGGTGAGCACTTTGAGACTTGGGAACTCTGACGCGGAGAAGGTGAGTGCTCTTCCGGTGTATGCACTGTGATGCAACCTAAGGTAGAGCAGGCTTGGTAACTGAGAGATAACTTTCAGGTGCTCCTCAGATTCCAATTCAGTGGCGCGAAGGGTCAACTCAGTTAGATTAGCCAGCAAACCAATCCATTCTGGTAGCCGTCCCAACTTACCTCGGAAGTTTATGCTTTTTAGAAACATTGGTGGCCTGGATAGTGTATCAAGAATCCTGAAATTCATTACTCCGCCTGGTCGCCAAATCAGCAGCGACTGAAGGCAACTGCTCAGTTTTGCAATGGCAGTGATCAAGGACATCCAGTTTATGTTGTCATCAACAAACATCATTACCCCTAGCTTCCTCAACTGTGAAAGCTTCCCCAATTCAGATATGTAACAGGAAGTAGAGCCTGTGATCTCTATCTGTGCAAGGGTTGTAAGCATTTCCAAATTGCCAAGCTTGTTAGGGATGTGCATTCCCCAAAAATTGGAAATGGGAGACAAACCACTGTAGTTATAAACTCTTCTCCCTCCAAGTAGGTTTAACAAATTTGGCAGATTGGTAATGTGTGGAGGCAAATGCTTTATGGCTGTGTCCCTGACATCAAGTGTCTCCAACTTTTTGAGGTTTCCTATTTGCACAGGAAGTTCAGTGACATATGTATTCCGGAGACTGAGATATTCCAACTGAAACAGTTTACATATATTTCCGATATCTCCATTCCTGGCAAACCCAGAACCTTCTAAGTCTAATATTCTAAGAAGTTTTATCCAAGCAAACTGTAACATTTCTCCATCAGCAAATATACTCAATGATCGGACATGGCTTAACAATTTGCTTGTGGCAATGTTTTGGTTACTTCCTCCATGAATGGATAGCCGCCGAATCTTCTCTTGAGGAGCTAAAGTAGACTGTTGACCTACCAAAGTGACGAAATTCTCTTCAATTGATTTTGAAACAATGATCTCTAGCATTATATCATGAACTCGAAAGGTCTTGACCTTCCCATCAAAGCTCATTTCAATTGGAAGAACCATACTCCTGTTGAGTAATTCATTGAAATATTTTTCAGACACCTCCAAGGCACTTAATCCACGCTTCTCTGTCACAAAGCGTTCTGCTATCCATCGTCTCAATAAACTTTTCCTTCTGATCTTATAATCCTCAGGGTAGGTGCTTAAATATAAGAAACAAGTTTTCAAATGGTATGGAAGGTCATTATAACTAAGCTCAAGAATTTTCTTTAGTTTTTCAAGCCAGGGATTGGTTTCCAGCTCCAAGCCAAGAGAGTTGTAGATCTTCTCCCAGCGATCATAACTATACAAGGGTGTGCTAGCCAAAAGACCTGCAATGCTGACTATGGCCAAGGGTATACCACCACACTTTCCCAGGATCCTCTCTGAAATGTTTTTGAAGGCAGCTGGGCAATTTTCCCTGTTACCAAATATTCTCTTGAAAAATAACTCGCTAGATTCACTACCACTGAGTGGTTCAATTTCGTAATTTCTGTCATACTCATGGAGGCAGCAGGCTTGTGCTACAGTTTTCATTCTTGTGGTAACAATTATTCTGCTTCCAGTATGTGAGTTAGGCAAGCAAAATCGAATACCTTCCCAAGCTGACATGCTCCAAATATCATCGAGAACAATAAGATACCTCTTATCTTCTAGATGCTGCCTTAGCATATCTGCAAGCTGTCCCACGTTCCATTCTTCCATGCCTTTGAGTGGGTCTACTGCTGGTGCTGGACCATTTTGATTTACTGGTCGAATAATCTGACGAAGAATGTCCCTTATGAGACTCTTCACATCAAATTTCTGGGATACAGTCACAAAAGCTCGGCACTGGAAACTTGCACTAGCTGTCTGATATGTCGTCATAGCAAGAGTTGTCTTTCCCAAACCACCAAAGCCGAATATAGATAGCACCAGTAGTTGCTGTACGTTTTCATCCACCAACCAATTCACAATATTACTCTGACGCGCTTCAATGCCCACAAGTTCCGTTATCTCTGGGAAGAGTGCGGGGGTACGAATATCCAGAGAAGTAATATAAGATGGTGCTGGTTGTGCAGCAAGTGTGTTTCCTTCTGCTCCAGAAATGAGATGATTACCACCATACCTACGAGAAGAGTTTGTAAGTTATTGCTACAGCTCATACATAGTAGACGGGAAAGAGGAAAGAACTTTCATGTTTTTTTACAGCAAAAACACATTGTAGCTATAAAGTTTCGAAGGCTGAATTACTCTCATCTAAAGTTCATTCTCTCGCATACAAAATAGATAATGTTTGTGACTTTGCACAATCTCTAAGGAGCAACTTTGGCCATTTTGTTCTCTATAAATATGTAAGTAAATGACAATTAAAGTTTATATTGTGATTTTTTTCATGACAAATCCAGTGGTACAATTTTACTCAACTAATCTAAACATTTTTTTTTCTTAGTCAGTTGTCAAAGATGGAGAAAGTTTGACGACATGCTTAACAATGTCATCTATTTTGGGACACAGGTAGTATTTACAAAATTTTATCCAATAGTTGCAACAGTGGAATGAATCTTTTCAATTTTTATCACAACACCAGAACACATAATTTATACTTCCTCCAGTCCTCCTGCTACAGAGCTACCACATTTACCATGTTTCATTTAGAGGGAAATCATAGGGTAAATGCCAAGACGCATAAGAATTTTATATAAGGAACGCAAATGCAAGTACCTTGAGTTTCGGTCACTGATACTTGTAGCGCGCGCTTTCAGTTCTTGGATTTGTTTCGCAATCTGCCGCCGCACCCTGACAGTTTGCAGGAAACGGATGCATCTGTGGAAGAGCCCGACAAGGCCAGAACCACTCGTGGTGCTGCCAAGGTGATATGTAAACTCATCAACGCAATCCTCAACATCATACGCGACCTCTCGCACCTGTTTCATCCAAATCTTAACCTGCTTCCTGCGGTTTCCCCCCTCAGCAAGGTCCTGCAGGAATGCTGTCATGCTCTCAAGCTCATCCTTCATGTACTGCAGCTCGCCTCGGATGCCTCCAAGGAGCTGTGCTTCTTGGATGAGCACCGTACCCAGCTTACATAACAGTATGTTAATGGCTCCCCCACTAGCACTAACAACAGGATGCTCCATCTCTCTACCAAGTACCAAAAGGGGGATAAGAGTTTCTGCTGTTGTCTGTTTGAATGGGGCTGGGCAATATATGTGGGGGGCACAGGAAATGCTCCTCACCATCCTCCAAGCGAAGAGTCCAGGCCACACACCTATACCAATATAGTCCACACAAGCATCTTATGACTTTTCAATGATACGTCGCTGTCTTATTACTGCCCAATGGTTCAAAGGCGGGAGCAGCTTAAGGACACCTTCCAGGAAATGTCCAATTCACGTTGTCTGACTTGAATGGTACTACCTCTGTAAACTAATATAAGAGCGTTTAGAATACTAAAGTAGTGATCTAAACGCTCTTATATTAGTTTAAGGAGGGAGTACATCTCTTACCTCAAAATTAGGTACATCATCTTAATCAAAATTGATAAGAACAAACCACTGGTATAAAAAAATGTCAGTTAAATAGCATAAATCAAGAAGGTCATGTTTGAATCCAAGTGCCATCCACATCAACTTTAAATGATACTTACTGAAGCCTTTGTTTACGTCATGCCTAAAAACTTGTTTAGACCTTTAGGGGTGGTTGTTTATCTTTCAAGTGGTTATTTCAACAACTTGTAGGTGATTATTTACCAAAAGAATGTATGCAGGTGCAGAAATTAACGCGCAACATTCTTATTTTAAAAAAGACTGCTCATTCAGATGTTCTGTTTTGACGAAGGATCTGAAAATCTGAACCAGAGAGAATCGCAAAAAAAAAAAAAGCTAAGATATGAACTTGAAGTCATTTAGATGGATACACGTGCCACCTTAATGAATGAGACTTCTTACCAGCGTGCTTTTGGTTGATTACTTGGTAACCAAGCGATGGTTTCACCTGTAGGCTATGAGATTTCACCACATGGAGGCAGCTGGCTCGCTCAATCTTGCCCGTCAATTATTTATCCCATCATACATCATGATGATAACAACAGGTCATTTGAGTCATGGAACCAATGGCCATTGAATCAGCCATTGCTGCCAACAAACAATCTTATGACTTTTCAATGATATGTTGTTGTCTTGCTGCCCCATAATTCAAAGGGAGCAGCAGCTGAAGGAGCCTTTCAGGATATGTCGGCTTCACATTGTCAGACTTCGATGGTGTGGTTCATCGTGTGTAATTTTCCTAATTAGATACATCACCTTATCTCAAAATTGATAAGAACAAACCATCAGTATAAAAAATCTCAGTTAAATAACACAAATCAAGGTGTTATGTAACTTATGTTTGAATCCAGGCGTCATTCATGTCAACTTTAAATGCTACTCATGGATGCCTTTTTTATGCCTAAAATTTTGTTTAGGCCTTTAGGGTGGTTGTTTCAACTATGTATGTTATTATTAGGTTAGGAAAATCTTTTGCGTGGTTATTTCAACAATTATAGGTGATTATTTACCACAAATAATGTATGTATGTGCAGAAATTTAACTTGCAACATTCTTATTTCAAGAAAGACTGCTCATTAAAAGATTCTGTTTTGAAGAAGCATCTATGCTCATTAAAAGATTCTGTTTTGAAGAAGCATCTAAAAGTCGGAATTAAATAAAATCACAAAAAATGCTAAGATACAAGTCATTTGAACTTACATGCGTCATTTGAATGTTCAAATGAAATGGTTAAGAGAGGGCTGAAGGTGAACCGTGTATCCTCCTAATTCCTGAAAGAACTTACCAAGACACTTGAAACAAAGACACGTACTACCAGAAGTCCAAAGAGAATGGAAGCAAGAGGTAAGACAAATGCAAGCACAAAATATTTGTTTGATCCTCAAAACTGTACTGTATTTGACACTTCTATGATACGTAATACACATCACAAGCTCCTAGCTTCTGACTCCTGAGATGATGGTAAGCAACTATAATCTTCAACTGCTGTCAAACGCCCATTCATCGCTCTCCTCCTCCTATCCCTTGTGGCCATCCTCTCGCCATAGGTTAGAAAAATGTCCCCAAGATCAACATGACCTGTTTCCCTCAATCTCCTTCCAACCTCCTCAAACATCGCTACTCCCTCCTCATTCGAGAAGTAGTACAAGAACTTATTATAGTCAAACCTCGGCACATCCACTCCACCCCACATTGTCCTCTCCACAAACTTAGTGGCCTCCAGTGTCCTCCCCGCCTTCACCAATCCGCCGACGAAGATGCTCTCAAAATTCACCAATGGATCCCTGCCCTTCCTGCCCCTCTTCCCCAAGTGCCCCTGAAGCAACATGATGTAGGTGTGCATGTTTGGCTCGCACCCACTGGCAACCATCTCCCTGAACACCTCAGTCGCCTCCCCAGCTCGCTTGATCCTCACCAAACCCTTCATCAACCCGTGGTACAGTGCAATATCCTTCTCCTTGACACCATGAAAGACACTGTACCCTTCCCTCACCCTCCTCCTCGCCAAGAGGCTATACACCAAATCCCCCAGCACCTCTCCGTCCACCTCCACCCCTCTCTTAACCATTTCGGCCAACACCATGAATGCCGACCAGGTCCTTCCTTCCTTGCACAGCCACGAGACAACCGCGTGGTAGCACGCGCCACCATGGCCGGCAGACAGCCCCCTCCTTCGCATTCCATCGAACACCTTCATGGCGTCAGGGATACGGTTGTTCTTGAACAGCGTCACCACGATCTCTTCGTATGCCGCCGCGCCGGGCTCGATCCCGCGCTTCTCCATCCCGTTCCACACATTGCACGCGTCGGCGAACATCCCCGCGCGGCAGTACGCGACGACCAGCAGCTCGCAGCACCTGCCGCAGCGCGCGAGGCCGTACCGGTGCTCGGCTTGCTTGACCACCTTCTCTGCCACGTCGGGCAGCTTGCAGACGGAGCAGACGACGTCGACGATGAAGGCGAGCACGCGGGGGCGCTGCGCTTCGGGGAAGAGGGTGAGGAGGGCGGAGACCTTGCCGACCTCGCGGGCGGGGGCGAGGCCGCGGACGGCGGCGCGGAGGGCCGCGCCGGAGAGGAGCCCGGGAGGGAGGGCGAGCAGCGTGGAGTGGAGCAGGTCGACGTTGCTGGACTTGGCGAGGACGTCGAGGAAGCGCGCGGCGGTGGCGGGGGAGTGCGCGAAGCCGTGGCGGGCGGTGAGGTGCGCGAGGAGGCGCTGCACGGGACGCCAGGAGAGCGGGAACCGCGCGGACGCCTGGAGGAAGAGCTCGCGCAGGTCGGCGGGGGCGGAGGGGAGGGGGAGCGCGGAGAGGCGGCGCTGCAGGGCGGCGTCCGGGGCGTTTTGCTGCTGGTAGAGGATCGTGCAGAGGCGGACGAGCAGCGCCGGGTCGGTGGGCCTCGGCGCGGCGGCGGCGGCCTCCGGGGCGGGAGCTGCGACGGCGGTGGAGAGGAGGCGGCGGAACAGGAGGCGCGGAGGCATGGAGGTGGTCGCGGGTCGTGGTGGCTGAAAAGGCGGGCTACCGAAGAGGGCGCGCGTCGGCGCGAATGCTGCTCGGAGAGAGTCGCAAGATCTCTTTCTCGTTTCGGCTGCGTAGCCTTTTGATGGGCCGGTTTATTATGACAGCTTTTCATGGGCCGATTTGTTAGGCGGTAAAGATTTTTTTACTGAACTTAAGTGAAATGCATTTTACACCTAAAAACATGTGTTAAGCAATCTGAACAATTCAAAAAGGTGAAATGCATCTTTTACACAGAGTGCACATTAAATTCGTTCATGGTGCCTCCCTCAAAAATTAAAAAAAAAATATTAAGTCGTTCATGGTGCCTTGAGGGTCGCACTCCTTGTACATGTATCTCTACTCCTAATGGAGCACTTTATAGCCTGATACGGTTTATTTTTGTCTGGTTTTTCTTCGTCCCACCTCCCACCACCACCACTTCCATCGGTTTATTTTTGCCTCACATCGTGTTTTTATCCCACGCTCGTCACCACGAATAACCTGCAGAACCCCCGACAAAAAACGCACATGAAACCTACGCAGATGCAGTGGCGATACTGGGGCGCACGTCGGCGCGAATGCTGCCGTACAAGCGGAGAGAGTCACAAAATCTTGTCGTTTTTTCCAGATCAGCAAAAATGCAAAAATCTTTGTATCGGGGGTAGCCTTTTGATGGGCCGGTTTGTTTTGACAGGCTTTCATGGGCTGATTTGTTAGGCGGTAAAGTTTTTTTACTGAACTTAGTGAAATGCATTTTTTAGACTCAAAAAAAGTGAAATGCATTTTTTTACATAGAGTGCACGTTAAATTCGTCCATGGGCCGGTTTGTTTTGGCAGCTTTTCATGCGCCGATTTGTTAGGCGGTAAAGTTTTTCTTTTACTTAACAAATTCGTTCATGGTGCCTCCCTCATCAAACATCTCTACTCCTCATGGAAGAGTCCGTTGTCGTTTCGTCTCATCACCCTCCCCACCGAACAATGCCTCCACCATCGATTGATCCTAGCCCCATCATTTTTTTTGTCTCCCCTGCTCCCCTGCAAAACCGATGGGCATAAAATCAAAGAGAAACACATCACAAAAAAACCCATCCTTTCCTAATGTATCTATCTAATCTAATCAATCTATCAATCTATATTCAAAAAAGATCTTTTCATGGCCACATTTTCCTTCATTGTTTGGGCGAAAACTGATCTCGCCCGCAAAAAAAAAACTGCCCTCAATGTATTCGCTACGGCGACGGGAACCACGCCGCCGCCGCCATCATGAATCCCTGAAACGCAGCCGCTGCCATCGCGGATACCTGAAACACCGCCGATCTATTCGTTACATCGACAGAAACCAGGCGCCGAGGAGTCATCGAGGAGCCGACGCTGAGGTCCTAAATGAGGCGCCGCCGCCATCGTTGCGGATCAATTGAACGCCACATCAATTTTTCACGGTACGTACATCTGTTGGACACTGATGTGCTAGACACGACCTTGTGATTCATGACCTTGGGCCGGTCTAGCTCGGCCATGGATAACAGCTGATGTGCTAGACATGACCTTGTGATTCATGACCTTGGGCCGGTCTAGCTCGGCCATGGATAACAGCTGATGTGCTAGACATGACCTTGTGATTCATGACCTTGGGCCGGTCTAGCTCGGCCATGGATAACAGCTGATGTGCTAGACATGACCTTGTGATTCAGGACCTTGGGCCGGTCTAGCTCGGCCATGGATAACAGCGGCAGTGCCAAGTTTGCAAATGTGTTGCGGTAGTCCTCGACGATGTGCGTGTCGGCGATGACCTTGTACATGTCGGTTTAGGTCGCGATGAAGGCGGCCTTCAGCTTGTTCATAGCTTGATTGTTTGCTGATCCAGATCCACGTGGACGTTCGTGTCATCATCCTAAAAAGCAAAGTTGTGAACAACTTGCATGCTGAAGAGTGCACGAAAGTTGTAATGTGGATATAAAAAGTTGTGAACAACATTTTACAACCTTGGAATAATTATCTGGAGGTGGCCTATTGGCAATAACTGCAATATCCGTCACTCCATATGTCATTTGTCCACTTGTTGTCATTTGTCCACTTGATCCATGCTCAATCTGATAAGTCTACAAAATGATGATAGTACAAAACTGTATCAGGAAGTAATACACATTCATTGTATCACGTCTGTTTGTAGTTTAATTTGAGACAAATAGCATGTAATAAGGTACAACTTTAATTTGGTCCATATATCTAGCAATTATGAGGAGAGAGATGGCGGCGGCAACATCGTGGCGAGGAGATATGGCGGTGGCGACGCGGTGGTGAGGAGACATGGCGGTGTCGACCTGTGCAGGTTGAGTGAGATGTGAGTAAGGGCTTGTGTCCGTGCAGCGAGGGAGTGAGAGGGTTGACCTGTTTTTTTTATAGAAAAGTCGGTTGTTTTTATATAAAGGGAAATCAACTATTTGTTCCTAGAGAAATGTAACATATTTGTATAGTGAAAAATATCACATACCTTAAATAATAAATTCCCGAGAATACTCATCAACAAGTGGTTTATAAGTGAGCCTAAATTTATTAAAATCGGGATGCAACTTATATATAAAAACTTACTCTACTAGTGGAAATGACATCGCACACGTTGGACAACAAATGGCAATTCCATTTTCTGCGATCGATCGAGCGAATGGAAATCAACGACCAGCTAGCTACGTGAGGCAAGAATTAAACTTGACGTCGGTGCCGAGGATTCGGCGCCTAGAAGGTAGCAATCACATACGCCAGTCGGGACAGCCAACCGGCGTCGTTGTTCTCCTCGCTCACCGGGTTCTTCTCCGCGCTCCCCTCGAGCAAGAGGATGTCGCAGTCGCTGGGCGCGAAGGAGGCATGCAGCAGCTTGTCGGACGCCGCTTTGAGGCGCCCAGCAGCTAGGTCACCGAGGGCGCCCTCTAGGTTCTTGTTCATGTCCCTGTAGGAGCGGAGGCAGTCCCCGAGGTTCTTGACGAGGTCGTCGAGGACGAGCACCGTCGACGTGACGTTGGCCACGGTGAGGTTGGTGGCGACGACGGCGAGCTCACGTGCGTCCTTGGCGGCCGCGGCGGCCGGGTCGGCCGAGAGCGCGCCCACGCAGGAGTCGTAACCCACTCCCCGGCCGGGTTGGCCGACAGCCGCGCATGTGGTTCTGATGATCGCGGACGGAGTGCCGACGGCGAGGCTGCCGTCTCCGGTACCCAGGAGGAGGATGAGGGTGAGAAGTAAAACAACATGAGGGTCCATCGACATATGACTGTCGTCGTACTCACCACCGTGACTATCATGTCGCACCAGTCGGCGGTGTGTATTTATGCAGGCAACGAATAGAATGGATTAAGCAAGGAACAGTTGGAATGAAATCAATACGTAGTACGTACTATTTTACCAGCGATGAGGAAGATAAGTAATATATGGAAATATATCAATTTTTTTTTTTGCTTTTGCAGTCTTTACCAGATCAATCAGATCTAGCTAGCTAGCGCTTTAGTGTCTTTAACGACGCAAGATAAAATCTCGTATTTATTGAGAGAAATCAGTTACTAGATCGTGCGTTAATGACTGCCATTCGTTGATCATAAATCGAAAAGTTTGTAAGTAATCGTACATGTTTTTTTGTGTGTTTCAATCCCGGAAAAGCTCTTTCAAGTCCGCCCGCTCCAACGAGCGAACTCATCAAAGCTCAACGTGTTGTTTATTGGCGTTGTGGTTCTGTGTGAGCTTGCCGTTTTCTAGTTTGCTTCGAGACCTTAAGACCTTGTTGAACCTCATTTTGATTTATATATGTGACCGTATGCATCGTTCTAATGCAGAGGCCGGGGTGTCCCCCTTTTCGAAAAAAAGATCAAAGCTCCACCGCTCAACCGACAGGCTTCTCTGATTTGGTCGCACAACGTGAATAAGGTATGTGTGCACGGGATGTGCATGCATGACTCTAATTCCGAAAAAGCTCTTTCAAGCCCGCACGCTCCAGCGAGCGAATTCATCAAAGCTCGATCGCTCAACCAACAAGGTTCTCTGATCCGGTCCCACCACATAAATAAGGTATGTGTGTGCACGGGATGTGCATGCAGGACTCTAATCCTAGAAAAGTTCTTTCGCGCTCCAACGAGCGAATTCATCAAAGCTCGGCCGCTCAACCGACAAGCTTCTCTGATCAAACTTCAAAAAGAAAAAAAGACAAGCTTCTCTGATCGGGTCCCACCACGTAAATATGGTATGTGTGTGCACGGGATGTGCATGTAGGACTCTAATCTTGGAAAAGCT